GTCGAGAAACGTCGAGCTCACCGATAGTTATACGCGAGCTGAAGCCTTAGCAGAAGTATCAACGCACTTCAAAAAACTGACGCTAAATTCTGTTCAAGAATACTCTTACTGTTTATAAATATTTAAGTTTTTATGGAAAAGTGATCTTAGAAAAAAATTAGCGGGAATATATATAGCGAGATATTTCGGGTACATCGAAAGCTTCCCTTGAGTTGAAGCTTTCACCGAAATATAAAGCCGGTTCTACAGCCCACCGTAATACTCTGTTGATAGATACTCTTGTTTTGTATGGAAATTTATGTTATTATATGAGAATTACCTTGAAAATATATGAAGCCGAAGATATTTGACGGGATATTCCAGGCCCATCGATAGCTCTAGTTTAGCTAAAGCTGTTGGCTGAAATATGTAGCCATTTCAAGAAACCACCAGGAATCTCTGTTCAAGGACACTCTTCTTATGTATGAAAAGCTATGTTATTATACAAAAATGATCTGAGAAAAATATTAGCTCAAATATATACGGTGAGATATTTGAAACCCATCGATTTCTCCGAGAGAACCGACGCTTTAGTGTATATTTGTAGCCAACTCTAAAAACCACCGCGAGCTCTTTGAAGAACGCTCTTGCTGTGTACAGAAGTGTATTTTTTTCTGAAAAAGTCATCTTAAAAAATATTAGTACGAATATAAAAGCTGAGATATTTCAGGCATATCAGCAAGTGTATCCGAGCTGAAGTTTTCTTGGAAATTTGTAGTTAATTACAGAAATCACCGCGAAACTCTTTGAATGACACTCTTGTTGTGCATGGAATTTTATGTTTTTAAACCAAACTAATCTGAGAAAAATACTAGCCTGAATATATATGCCGAGACATTTCGGGCCCGTCGATTGCACTGCGCGAGCCGAAGCGCTGGTGCAAATATATAGCCAGTTCTAGAAACCAACACGAAACTCTGTTCAAGGACACCAGTGTTGTATACAGAAATTTATGCTTTTATGAAAGAGTGATCGTAGAAAAAATTGAACCCAAATATATTTGAGGAGATATTTTGGGGTCATTGGTAGCTTCACACAAGCTGAAGCTTTAGGAGAAATTCATAGCCATTTCTAGAAACCACCGCGAATCTCTGTTGAAGGACACTCATGGCATGTATCGAAATGTATTTTTTATTACAAAAGTGAGCTGAGAAAAATATCAACCAAAATATATTTGCCGAGATATTTCGGACATATCGACATCTGTATTAGATCTGAAGTTTTTATAGATATATGTAGCCAATTCAAACCCATCGCGAAGTCGTTTGAAGGACATTCTTGCTGAGTATGGAAAGCTATCATTTTTTACAAAACTGAAATGAGAATAATATGAAGCCCAACACACATGTCAAGTAATTTTTGGCCCATCGATAGATCCATATTAGGTGGAGCTCGGTGGAAAATATGTAGCTAGTTGTAGAAACCACCGTGAAACTCGCTTGAAGTACACACTGGTTGTGTACCGGAAGCTGTGTTCTTTTTACGAAACTGATATGAGAATAATGGGAACGTCAGTATGTTTGACAAACATTGTTTGTTAAAAAATTTCGGGCCCATCGATAGCAATACGCGAGCTGAAGCCGTGGCGAAAATATGAGGCGAGTGCTTGGAATTATTGTGAAACTCTTTTGAAGGACATTCTCGTTGTCTAAGGGGAATATTTATTTTTATATAAAAGCGATCGAAGAAATATACGAACCCAAATATATTTGTTGAGATATTTCAAGCACATGAGTAGCTCTACTCGATCAGAAGCTTTGAGGGAAACATAACGTCAATTCTAAGAACCATCGCAAATCTCTGTTAAAGGACACTCATGGCATGTATCGAAATCTAGTTTTTATTATAAAAGTGAGCTGAGAAAAATATTAACCGAAATATATTTGCCGAGATATTTTGAACACATCGAAAGCTCCTCTTGAGGTAAAGCTTTGGCCGAAATATAAAGCCTGTGCTGGAACCATCTTGAGGGTGTGGGTGTGGGTATGGAAGCATAGTTCGGAACAGGTGGGTCAAACTCAACCATGAGGTGTCCTGTTATTAAAATTGAGTGAGTGTGGATGTGGGTGCAGTTTGAAGCATTTAGGTGAAGCACAAATCATCCTGCAATAATTTGGGTGGTGGCATAGTTGGAAATAACTGTGTCAAGCTCAATATTTCCAGCAATAACTTGAGTGGCGACGCAGTTAGCAGCTACTGAGTCAAGCTCACCATGTCCAGCAAGGATATTGGTATTGGTGTGGGTGTAGACCGAGTGAAGGCTGTGTTTTAACATGTGGGTGTTGACTGAATGAAAGCTGTGTTTTAGCGTGTGGATGTGAGTTGAGATATAGACTGAGCACATTTTGCAGTTTTTAAAACAGTTTTTTCTTTGTTAAAGAAATGAGTTTCACGACAGTAATGTTCATCAACTTTATTTTAAGAACAGAAATAATTTATTTAATGAGCCTGTTTATGTAAAATGGGCACATTTTCTAATACATAAAGATGTCTCAATCTTTTGTCTTTGAAATTTCTTTTGAAAAAATAAAACTTTCCGAAAACTATACTATCAGCTTATGTGTTCAAGTATAGATTCAATTCATGTAAAAATTGTATAATACACATGTCTAACACTATATTGATTGTGTTTCATATGTAATAAGCACTAGTGTTCAAATGTAATCATAAGTTTGAGATCGTATTTAAATATAGGTATGAAGTTAATCTTTTGATGTATAAGTAAATGACTCAACAATGGAAGAACTAGAGATATTACGGAAAATATTAACAACATTCAGATGTATTGTAGTTCACACGTAATATAATCGTTCACATATTTTATGAAATATGCGAGTGAATGCTTAAATATTCGATACAAGAATAATACACACATAGTAAACTTCAATGAATTTGTTAATCATGTTTATTTTCTATATCTCATTGTTGTTGGTTATAAATAAATTCTATGATTGATCTATTTCTTTACAGACAAATGATAGTTCGAAAAATAAACTGTTTATATTTCCATAGAGAAGAGTTGAGCATTGGTAACATTTACTCGTTTATGTGTCCTTACTTAACTGATCAATACAATAAAAATGTGAAAACAATGAGATGATGCTGTGAAAAACTTCACTAAATAAAAGTGGAAATAAGAAATTAATTATCAATGCTATTTTGTAAACAAAACTTAAATGAGAGTAATCGCTAGTAGAAAATTCGAATTCGTAATCAAATTGTACTTTTTTTACGAATATATTTTCCTAGAAAATATAATTAAACGTTTTTCGAAGAAAAAATAAAGTCTATGATCAATGTGGTTTACATTAGTAAGATGCAATATTTCGTAGTCTATATTTTCAAATGAAACTTTAAGTGGGTATAGATCAGTATATTATTGTGTTTCTTTCTTTAATATAGTATCTGTTATAAAAAAAAGATATAAGCCGAATATTCCTATATCTAATTTTTTACTTCTTCTACACATACATAAATATTTTCACATATTGATTCCTTTATCCGAAACTGTTGTAAGTCATCTAGACTAGGAATTTTATGTATACAAAGTTTATTTCGTATTGTTATAGAATTGAAACCATATCGATTTGATTATAGATTATGCGCAATTATCGCCATCGACTATGTTTCAACCATAGAATATTGCTACTCTATACCTATAAGACAATATTATTTTTTTTGATGCTTTATAACAGTTAAATATCAGCGACAGAGATACTGAAAATTCTAACAAACTCAGCAAATGATAATTCTTTGTATCCATATCATAATATTTATTTTAGATATATCAAATATTCGTTAATAATTTCATTTAATAGAATAGTTTACGACAATGTTCATGATTTCTGGTTTAAGTTAAAAAGCAAAACTTATTACAAATAATTGGTATTTGTTATCAGGAAAGACAGTTACATAATATTCATTGATTATCTGTGCACTGGCTAAACTCACTGACGATAAATCATCATAGAGACATAATAATAATAATAAATAGAAGTTTTATCTATAATATAATCATTTGAAATTTTTAATAAATTAATAACTATATTAGTCTTTTTTTTGAAGAATATCTACATACCCTTACCTGCATTTACACCCACTCACCCGCACCTTCAAGTAAATTATAATCACAAAATGAATTTGTTATGAAATGCTATTGAAAATATAAATAAAAATAAAATTACACAATTTAGTTTATCAAAAAGACTAATATTTGTCGATGTTCATCATGTAAATCATTTTATTTTTGTTTTTGTTTGATATTTTAGAAAAATTCCATTTTCAGATTTATTTTTTCGTATTGATACGTTCGATATTTGCATTATCTCTCGGAAGAAAATGATCTTGCTTCGCAATCACTTGATTGCATCAGATTCATCACAAATGATTGAAAAACAACTTATTAGTTTCTATTCGAATAAAATAAACAAATTTCAATGTATAAGAATTGAGACGAGTGTAATAAATCAATTAAATCATGCACAATTGATTTAAATATATCCAAGAGAAAATAAATGTTAGAAGAGAAAGTAAAATTCTTTATTAAGATAAAAAAAGCACTTTTATAATGCTCGAAGATATATACAAATCAAAGATAAATACAAAATATAATTAAAAAATTCATTTTTCAGTTGATTTCAATTTTATGTTTATATAATTACTTAAAATAGATTCAATCTTAGATTATATACTTTTTATTTTGTTATATATATCTCAATATGAAATAAATATTTTTCTAATGTTGATCACAACAAACATATATTTACTTTATTATTTTAGATCTTTAAATAAAGGTATGTGATAGTCTATTGACAAGTTTTGATTACAAAAAAAACCAAATTATGAAAATGTGCTAATAATACCAAAATGCAATTAATAACTGTAGAAAGAAACAACAACTCATTATCTAGGATCTAATGCTGCTCGGTGTCTATATCAGCAGCTCGTTCGTTTCTTGAATATTATGATTTACTTCTTTCTGGAACAACATCATCATGTTTAACAATAACTTTACGACCAAATATTAATAAACTTTTCATATCATTTACCTATAAAAACTAAATTTATTTTTATTTGCAAAATAATAAAATTAAAATTTACTTCTTGTTTATTTATTTGAATAAATCGATTGTAATTTTGTTAAATATACCCATTTGATAATTGATAGATTTCATTATCAATCATTTCGTCTTCCTAAAAATATTAATTTCATATAAGAAAATAATTATAAATTTTGATCTTACTGTATATTATTTTTTCGATGAATCTTGTAATATATTGGAATTTAATTGATTTGTTGACTTTTTATGTCGATCACGAATAACTAATTATGTAAATGCATTATTTTCAGTTTGAAATACTTCAGAGAAGAAATCAAAACTTTAAATATTAAAAACTAGTAAAAATTACTTGACATTGTCTTCCATGTTGTAATTGATCATATTGTATTTGTTTTTCTTTAAATGTTATTTTGAATAAATATTTCATTGATTGCAATTCTTGTTTATAACGTTTTATAGTTTCACGTTTTATTTGTAATTCCTATTAGAAAATAATAAAATATAAGGTTTTCAAGAAAAAGACGAAATAGATTTTTCTTTCATAAGTAAACTAAAAAGATTTAAGATAATATTGATTGATTTTAAATTTTAGCTATGAGAAAGATAGGGTTAATCTAATACAGATAGTATTTTATATTTGTTAACATTTGATTTTCAGTTTTGAATGTTTCAAGTTTAATTTATGATTTGCTACTTTTGTATACTATGTTGTTTTATAATACCAGTTAACATATTTACTTGAAGTTATAATACTTGATATTTATTATTAATATCGTTATGAGCAATTTCAATTTGCTTATTATAATTAATAAGATAATGAATACAATCAGATAAATAATTACTTTCAGAAAATATGTGCAGCATTTAAATTTTCATTGATGAAATCGAATTGTTTTTTATAATTTTCAAACTACGAAATTTTTGATGAAACAATCTTTGACATGTCGTCAAGAGTTAACTAGAAATAAATGAGAGGAATTTTTTAGAATGAAAAAACAATTTTATTATTTACACGTTTGATATATTATTTTCAGGTGAAATTGACAAAAACCATTCTTTTAATTTAGATTCATTTGCTTCTGAAGTTATTGTTTGTTATAAACGTTGAATTTGTATCTTAAATAAAACTATATTTTTGTAAAATATTTTAATATTAAACAAATAGAGCGAACATGTTTTTCTTTACTGACGGCATGTACAGATGTATCTTTCGAGTTTTGAAACACTATGCATAGACTACAAGAAACAGAATATTTTTTCTTCAGTGCGACGTAGATACTAAACAGAAATATTATATTATTCTTGTTAATAGAATAATACAACGTTTACGAAATTTATTAGTAGGTAGTGTAATATCATTCTATTAGAAATTAAAATCTTTGTGTACTATCAACAATTACAACGTTAATATTAATATGAGAGAGAATATCATAAGCAGATAGATCAATCTGTTAGCTTCTGTTGTTACGTTATATAAATTTTATTTTAGATCACAATAAAATTAAAAAATAATGAAGCCAAGCGAAACTACTATCATCAGCTATTTGATACAATCTTGTATTTATAATTTAGCGTTCGTTGCAACGGCGACCACGTGCTTCACGTTCGCTTAATGTATTTTTTATTTTACAGTTACAATCCTATGTGCATAACTAAATGTATGTGCACTCAACCAAATCTATAATGTGATTTTGTGTATATACACACATTTCAATATCATGTAGAAAAAAGAAGAACGAGTGAAGAATATACAAGCGCTTCATATAAAATAAAACCTTGAACAACAATAGCTATTAGAGGAATTGATCAAATCATAACATAAGAAAGACTTTAGAATTGGATAAAAAGTAATATCTAACAGCCGTGGAACAAATTTCATAATAGATAGACAAGTTTTATTTTGTATTCATAATCTATAATCAAAACATCAGTGAGCACTATCACTTCGGCTATGCAGCCCGCAGTTTTTAATGCATTAATTTTGTACATCTCGTCAATAATCTCAAATTTCATATTTCCTCCAACATTTGAATTTATGCTTTGGGCTAAAACTAGGCTATAAAGTCAAAACTAGCCGAGGATCTTCTATATAGATTGCTTTTTTTATTGTGACGAGGTTAAAAACTTTATGGGTCAAACTTTTTAATATCACGAATTCAATGTGCTGCCTCGAAAAATCTTCCGAACAATTTTGATTATGTCTCAGGATAAAATAGATGGAATTTTTCGGAATTAAGTTTTGTTGTTTGAATATCTTTACAAAATGGTACAGCAATTTATGTTTTTATGAAAAAGTGGTCTAACAACAATATCAACTCGAAAATATCATCGGGGATAACCAGGGTCCATCGGTTGTTCTACCTAAGTCGAAGCATTTGCGAAAATATCTAGCCGTTTTCGAAGTCCTCGCGGAACTCGGTTGAAGGATACTCTTGTTGTGTATAAAAATCGATGTTTTTGCACAAAAAATAACTGGGAAAAAAATGAGGCCGGATATATTTACTGGAATTTTTCGGGCCCATCGATAGCTATACGTGAGCGAAAGCTGCAGCGGAAATATCCAGGCAGCCCAAAAATACCACTGCGAAACGTTTTTAAATAGGAATCTTGTCGTGTTTGGAAAGTAATGCGTTTGTACAAAAGCGATTTCAATAAAATATGCAAACGAATATATCTATCCAGATAGCTCCACCTCATCCGTGGCTTTATGTGAGCTAAACCTCTCGATAATGGAACTGACAGATTTCGTGATGAAAATGAACTATAACTCGCGTATAAATGAGCGAAAAAGAGCGTATATTACAGCACGCGGGTTCAAATTCTCTGTGAAACATATGACTTATGTTCCTTCTGTTTCGCCTTTTTCCGATTGAAGTTCGGATTCTTTTCCGACTGTTGTAAATAGTGCTCCCTTAAGATCTCAACGCCTAAACGAGCAGCTGAGCATCCTTATTCTGAATCGGGAATTTTTTGCCACCAAATATATTTGCTTCAAAAACTCCTCCGGGGATTATATAAGACTATACGGAATTTTTGTAGTGATCTATTGTGATTATTATACGTACTGGTCACATTTGAAGATAATTATACGATCTGACCGTACAGTTTACTAAGCAAACTAATATTGTCTCTTTAAAAAAAGTCTGGTCGAATTCAAAAATGAGCATTACTTGTTATTTAAATCATCTTTGGAGTTGGTACAAAAATTTCATTGCAATAAATATTTTTTCATGAGTATGTCTTGCTTTTATAGTTTACATTTGCTTGTTTCTTGTTTCCAAAAAAAGTAATTTACTCAGCACCATTTTACAAATATATAAAATTTCATTTATATATATGTAGCATTATAACCCCAACAACAAATTTAAATATAAAACTTTACTAATTTTTATATTGACCGACGCATAAGCACATCGTCGTATAAAATCAACAAGAAACGAAAACAAAATTTACAATTGCTTCTATTGGCCTCGTACCAGTAATAAATATCATCGAAATATTTCCACTCACATCAATCTTTCTCGAATTTTTTCTCTTATTTATGCCTGTTAGATTACAAAAAATAATACGTTGTTGCGAAGATTTCATTGTTGTTGCATATTTCTCAATGAAATATTCGATCAGTCATGAAATATTTTGTGTATGTAGAAAAAAAGAAAAATATGCACGAAGGCCATCACTGCCTATCGTACAAAAGCATGTGCTTCGATTAAAAAAAACGCTAATTATCGAACTGTATCCAAAATGTCCTCAAACAAAATAATAACAACGCACAAAATAGAATTAAAATGTTCTAATATGAGAGTTTTATCTAGAAACGATAATAGTTTGAGAAATAAATTGTCAATAATATTCATCAATTTTTCTTTTTTCTTTATGAAACTTTGATGAAAAAAAATATACGTTGTTGTATATCTCTTACTGAAATATATGGTAACGTCATCGATTATTTTTCGTATGAAGAAAGAAAAAGTATGCACGAAGGCCATCACTACCTATCGTACAAAAGCATGTGCTTCAATTAAAAAAAACGCTAATTATCGAACTGTATCCAAAATGTCCTTAAACAAAATAATAACAACGCAGAAAATCAAATTAAAATGTTCTAGTATGAGAATTTTATCTAAAAATCATATCGATTCGAGAAATAAATTGTCAATAATAAGATTTCATCATTGTTGTTAATCTGTCAGTAAAATATGTGATCAGTCATCAATTATTTTGTGTATGAAGAAAAAGAAATTATACACGAAGATAAATACTGTCAATCAAAAAAAAAAGAATGTCCGTTTATCAAAAAAGGTAAACGGTGATCAAAAACGTACATCCAAAACAACATTGAGAAAAATAATAACAACTAAGAAAATAAAATATATTTTTTAATAAGAGAATTTTATCTACAAAACATTATCAATTCGAGAAATAAATTGTTTATAATATTTCTCCGCTTTTTTTCTTCGTTCATGCACCTTTGATGAGAAAAAAATGTTATTGCGAAGATTTCACCATTCTTGCGTAATGCTCAGTGAAATATGCGATCACTCATCGATTATATTGCGTATGAAAAAAAAAATTATACACGAAGATAATTACTGTCAATCGTCAAAAAAAATGTACTTATATTACAAAAATAAAAAGTGATCAAAAAGTACATCCAAAACAACCTTGAAAAAAATGTTAACAACGAAGAAAATAAAATATATTTTCTAATATGAGAATTTGATCTAAAAATCATATCGATTCGTGAAATAAATTGTTACACTGTAAATTAGAAAATAGTTTATAGACAATAAGAAAGAATATTCTAAGAGTGCCTATAATTTATTGATAGATAAAGTTCTATTTTCTTAACGGTACAATATTCAAAAGAATAGAATTGACAAAATCGATTTTCTAACTAGAAAATTGAACGTGAATTGATATAGGTATTTTAAGAAACTCGGATTTTATTTAGCAATCTCAACACTTTCTAGAAATCTGAGTATTTACTTGGATTGTCTCTTCATAAGAGGAAACGCATCTAACAAAATAAATAATTAATTTTGATTTTAATTCTAGTTTGAATAAATTAATCAATATTAAAGCATACATGGATAAAATCAAAAAGATAATTTTAATTTCGCTTCATAAACATTTAGTTCTCACACATGCATTAAATAAAATATAAGATTTTGAAAAATTAAATATGAGTAAAGTGCACGCCGTATGCGCCCCTTCCTGTCCCAAGCTTCTTTTCCCCACAAAAACATTGTGAACCATGTCTATTTTAACTGTTTTGAATTCTCTGACTCTTAGATGGTCTTTTTATAGGATATCATTATGGAATATGATGGAAAAAGTGACGCTAATCCTCTTCGATGGAAATTTAAGCATCTAAAAGAGACATTATGTATGAATTTTTTCTAGAAACAGAAAACAAACAAAATTTTCTGTATTTCGATTAAAGGTCTTGGTTTTGAATAGTGTTTTTCAAAGTTTCTTCATATAAATCAAAACTTTGTATATCTATCGACCGGTCTTCTTAATAAATAATCGTTGACACAGCTAAATTAAAAAACGAAGAGATATAAAAAAAATTATTTGAAAGAGTTATAAGAAATAACATAAAACTTTCAAACTACGATCGTTCGATAGAGATTTTTAATGGCTATAAAATGTTTATATTACTTTATTTTTGTTGTCATTATTTAATAAAAAAACTAGAAAATGATTTTTTAGTTTAGAAATTTGCCTCTTTTGAATATATTAAATAGTTTTGTTTTGTACAGAATTCAGCGGGGTACCTTTTAACTCTAACCTCAGCTCTATGCGGTCAAAATTAAGCGAGATGTTCACGAAATACAAAATATACCGTTTATTTTAAC